AGTTTGTTACATTTCTTCAGAAATATTTTTCAAAGTGCCAACTTCGTGCCTTGAAGAAATGAATTCCGAGCAGAAAAATTCAAGAAACTTTCCTTTGGCCTGTTCAGTTTTAATACAGGTCAAAGATGACTCCAGTAGTATAGTCTCCTGGCAGCAATGAAAGTAAATATCTCCTTGTTAGAATTAAATTGTCATTCAGATTTCTAATTTATCAATCTAAAAGAATGTAAATTATATGTTCTCTTGCAGCCTCCACAAGGTTTGTTAAGTGTGAGAAATGCCACCACTTTTTTGTCGTCTTGTCGGAAACGGACAGTAAAAAGAGCTTGAAAGAGACACTACCACCCAAGCCAGAAAGACCCCCTCCTCCACCCCCTAAAAAGGTAAACGGGTTGAAATCGGATTTCTGACTCAGGGTCTTAAAAGTTGTTTCACCAGTCTCTGCCTGAAAATAGATTCTTTCTAGACATTAATTGCCAACAATCAATCGGAAAAGGTGTTCATAGAATTTAATGTTCCTGTGAGAATTGTCGTGTTACTACTTGCTAAACGTGCTGTTTAATCAAGTCCTCCTGAATGATTGGATTGTTACTAGAGTTATTTATAGAAAGCCAAGTTTATCATGAGCCCATGTTACCTACCAGGCCGGTGTTGATCTCCAGTTTCAGATGCATGAAATGACCTAGAATGTTTGTTTTCCCTCTCCACATGATGCCAATCCATCACAGATTGCTCCCTGGCTAATGCTGGTGCCTATTGATAACCCCCCTAGGAGAAGAGAGGCAAACAGGGGTGAAGTGGCTTGCCCAAGGGCACAACTTACGGCCAACAGATGGATTTGAACCCTGGGCAAACTTATCCTTCAGGCCACACCTCCCTTTGAAAACCCTGCTTGCTGTTCTCAATGCATGGCACCTTGTAATACAGGGGCTGCAAATGGTATCACAGATAACTAGGAACCGTGCTCTTTTCTTACCGTACTCACGGAATTGAGACCTCAATCACTGGCCAGCTGTTCTCCTGTTGCAGATCTTTGATTTCCTGAACCGATACGTGGTCGGGCAGGAGGAGGCCAAGAAGGTGTTATCAGTTGCTGTCTATAACCACTACAAGCGCATCTATAACAACATTCCCCTGTCATCAACCAAGAGCCAGACGGAAAGTGTTGAATCAAAGAATCAGGCATTCACTCCCAGGGGTAGGTGGTGGACATTTTACCCAAAATGTGAATGTTGGAGCCCTGTCTTGATGGACCTTTTGCCCATCCCCCAAAGACTTGAACAATTTTTCAGATGCCTCTCTTCTGTTTCATAGAGTTAGGTTACTTGCATCACCTGAGCAAGTCAGACATTGAGAGAAACTAGTTGAAAACTTCACACTTTTAGAGGCACACAAAAACGCACTGTATCAAGTATTTTGAGATATATCTATTTACTTAAATCAGCACCACTTGTTCTAGAAAGTCAATTTAGTCTGTGTGTGGGATTAGGCCAGAAACAGTCCCAGTGTTGCTTCTAATCAATTTCATACATGTAAAAAGGTTTTTCAAAAGGAAGCAGTCGCAGAAGTTGGATATAGCCGATTTGAAATTAGTTTAAAAGTAAAACAATAAATGAACCCACTTTACTGATTGCAACATCTACTGTTCAAACCAAATACATTTTGAAGAGATGGATACTTAGGCATGAGTACAAGTGTTTTAAAAATTATGTTTTTAGTGTTTGCTAATTAAATGTATTGGATTTCAACCGATCACCTGACCCTAACAAGACCTCTGATTGGTTGGTAATACATGTACATCTGCACTGCTAAATTTTTAGGGCAAAGGTTTGGGCTGTAAGTAAGCTTTTAAAATTTGACAATTAGACTTTGGAAAGCACTTACAAAATATCAACCATATCATGGCCTTAAGATGTACCTCAGCTTGTTGAGAAGTTTGTAAGGTGAAAGACTTGTTCATTACTTCTTACACTAACAACTGTTATCTTCCGTAACCCTTTGAATAGAGCTGCTGCAGATAGCAGGCATCAGCAGCCAGGGCAGCGCCTTAGGAGCCTCGTCCCTGCAGCAGCAACAACCACAGGCAACGCAGGGTAGTGACTCTGAACGGCAGCTACGCGGTAGCGGGCTGCTGGATTCACAGCATCACGACCTGCGCCTAGAGAAGAGTAACATTTTGCTACTGGGGCCTACCGGATCAGGTGAGGGGGAAAGCGGTTGACTTCACAGCCTATTTGCCAGCTACAATGTTGTCCTATCCTGGGGCCAATTTCACGGCACTACTGAGCATGCAGTTTCATGTTAATTGCAAATTGCAGGAAGACCATAAACAGTAAGCACAGCAAAAGGCATGTCTTCCTTGGAGCAAAGAAGTTGCTTAGCGCAGTGACAAAACAACAGAAATCTCTGTTAGCATGCAATTGTAAGCACAACCAGGCCAAGCACTGCTGTGAAATAGTGCTTAAGGTTAGCAAGATTATGTGTGATAGTAAGCATGACTTATCTGCTAACTGTGAATCAGGCCATGAAATTGGACTCTGATAGCTTTGTAAGGCCTGTATTTATCTTTAGCTGCTTCCATGTCATTCGTGGGATGGTATGCCAGTCCATTACAGGTGGTTCTCTTGTTAATCCAGAGACCCATTTATACTCCAGGGGGAGAAAGGCAGGTAAAATGAAGTGCCTTGCCAATGGTCACGACGTATGCCCAGCCACTGTATTTAAACCTCAGAGTTAGAAACATCTTTGATGCAGACCTTAACAGGTTGACCGCCGTGCGTTGTACGCATGCACGCTAACTTAACAGCTGCCTTTCACATGTCTATTTGAACATGAGCATTTGGCAGATGTATTCCCTCCACACTGCCAGCAGCGTATTTGTTGTGTTTGAAAGTGATGCCAGTGTATTCAATTTACATTACAATAGCCTTTCATTTCCTAGGAATGTACTTGTAGTCGGCAGTTAATGTTTTAACCGTTAGTCTACTTCCACACTACAATATGCATTGTCTGTGATTCCTAAGCTGGGTCTGAGGCATAATTCCATAGACGTCCTCTGCAGGAACATTGCTTAATTTTAAATGATTATAAAGCAAAAACTGCATGAGAAGCAGTCACAAGTTACATTTCTCCAACATTTTCAGTGGTAACTGGTGTTTGCTAAGCCCTATTTGCTGTGCAGTTTACAGATTGGCTTAGTTCCATGATAGAAATTTTAAGTGATAGAGTTGCTGTAACTCCTCTCAAATGTCTGGCCGTGGTGTTCCTTAGAACAACTTATTAATATATTCAAATACTAAGGCAAACAAAATATTCAGTTGGAACCACAAGTTGATACGACTTTCACAATTAGAAAAAAATGGATTGTTTTCCCAAGCCTGCTGTGTCGTGTAGCTCTAAAGCTATGACTTCGATCTAATCTGTCACGGTCCAGCAAGTGTACACATCCATGATTACCTCATAATTTCCTTCTCATTTGTCCGTTCAGGCAAAACCCTGATAGCCCAGACCATAGCTCGTTGCTTGGATGTCCCCTTTGCAATCTGTGATTGTACCACGCTAACCCAGGCCGGCTATGTAGGAGAAGACATTGAGTCGGTCATTGCTAAACTCCTGAGCGATGCAAACTTCAATGTGGATAAGGCTCAACAAGGTAATAAACCATGCTAATTGATTTAGAGAATGACGTTCCTGTTTTTATGGGACCAAGGTTTGCCGTTGAAGCCAGATTTGTCGGAAAACTAAATTTTGGGTTAACTCCTTGGACATTATTCGCAAGAGAGCCATTTTCTGATCATGTTCCCTGAATCTGTTTCATAAATCGTGAAGTGTTGAATGAGACAGTATCAAACTATTAATGATTGGCATGCGTTCTAAGCCTCCCATTCAAGATTTTCATAATCTGCCTGACACATTGAGGTGTGTTTAATCACAGATTTAAAATTAGTTACCAGAGTAGACAAGTACTCATTTGTCATGAAATTTCATTTTAGTGCTTTCATTTCAACTTTCAAGTTTCCAATATGCACAGTTCAACTCACTTTCAAAGTGAATATGGTCGACTCATGAAAAAAGTCTGTTGTTACTCATTGAAATCTTGGTTAAAAGGCTGCATAAAAACCTTTAATTATTGTTAAATGCCCATTAATTAGGTATCATCTTCTTGGATGAGGTGGACAAGATTGGCTCGGTGCCCGGAATCCACCAACTTCGTGACGTCGGAGGGGAAGGAGTCCAGCAAGGCTTACTCAAGATGCTGGAAGGCACGGTGGTGAATGTGCCGGAGAGGAGCTCACGGAAGCTACGAGGAGAGAGCGTACCTGTAGACACCACCAACATACTGTTTGTGGCATCAGGTGCCTTCAATGGCCTGGATAGGATCATCAGCAGAAGGAAACAGGAAAAGGTAGGAAAACTTCAACCCTGACCCTTCAATTCAGTTCGAAAAATCATAGCTAGGATAAAAGGGACTTTATTTTGTGTTATTCAGGAAGACAAAACCTCTGTCAGAGGTAGCAGATAAGTAAACTTGTTGACCAGAAGAGGATTTCAACTTTGTCAAAGTGATAGATGACCAACAGTGGTTAATGGTGTTCATTTTAATTACAGAGGGGTTCTATGGTTACAAATGGCGGTGGTTGTTAAAAATGGTTAATGATGTATCGTCGATATCAAAGAAATTAACTGGAAATTTGATGTACATTGTACATTACAAAATCATTTCTTTCTCAGAAGACAGTTGGTAAAAAAGTCTGCTGCTGTTTCTGAACTTGACACAGAATGGGTACGCCAGACCTAAAGCCATCTTTATCAGTATCAATGCAAGCTAGATTTGTTAAAAAGATGTTTCTTGAGGAACGTTGAATTTTCAAGTCCTCTTAAACTGTTCGCCAAAACTCACATGAACCCTAACAGTGCATGATCCGTCACATGTTGAGAGATGCAATCTTGTTGTAAGTTGTAGCGAAAATAAGTATATTTTGTTTGCATATTCAACAGTATCTTGGATTTGGGGCTCCTGCAAATGTCAGCGAGGGTCGAAGGGCAGCGACCAATGCTGATCTGTCGAACCAATCAGCTCTGTCTGACACTAAAATGGACAATGATGAACGGGATGCCCTCTTGAGGCAGGTGGAGTCCAGGGACATGATCGAATTTGGCATGATTCCAGAGTTTGTGGGACGATTCCCCGTCAACATTAGTCTGACCTCGCTAGACGAGGCCATGCTGCTTCGAATCCTGCGAGAACCTCGCAATGCCATAGTGCCTCAGTTTGAAATGCTCTTCAAGATGGATAATGTAAGTTACCCCCTCCCCATTGTCTCATCATTAGGGATTTGATTTCTCAAGAATTGTCCTGAATTCAGGATATTTAGCCACAAAGTATGGCCGTTCAGAGGTATCTGTATTCCAAGTTTGCTACTTTTGTGCTTGTTTCACAAAAAATTCAAGTTCAAGATTCACATAATTATAGTCATGCATGAGACAAGTCATGCCTTGTTGGCTATTAATTAAAAATTCCATTAAGCCAGAGTGGCTGACATTTAAAAAAGAAATTGTGTCATTCTACATTGATATTTTTCATTCATTTGTCCCTGTTAATTCTTACCTGCCTGACATCCATCATCCAATGTTTGGGTTTGGTCACATTCATCCAAATCCCAGGTTTGTGATTTTTTTTGGCACTCATAAACATTTGTTACCGATGACATGCCATATGGAAAGGCTGCCCTATGGATGGGGATTTGATCATTTCTAGAATGACAAAGCCCACATCTTGAGTGGAGCAGCCTGGATTGAATACAGCTCACGTCCTCATGTTCATCTCACATAGTAATGTATAACCACCATGCATACTTAGGTTGACATGGGTTTACAGATGTATATGGTTCGAAATTATCATATAATGTTATTCCATTTGACAGTGCACCCTGAATATTACCAATGACGCCCTGTCCGCCATTGCCAAGATGGCTTTGGAAAGAAAGACTGGGGCTCGTGGTCTTCGCTCTATCATGGTAAGACGCCCTACCCATATTACTCTTGGAAATGAATGTCAAGTTAAGATATTGATAATAATTTGATCACGGTCAGAAATCTTGAGGGTTTCTCAAAACATTGTGTGACTTCCCTTTTTTTTTTCTACTGCAGGAAAAGATCTTGTTAGAGCCCATGTTTGCTGTCCCTGGATCTGATATTGAAGAAGTAACGGTGGATGCTGAGGTTGTGAAGGGAGAAAAACCTGCAATTTATACCAGGAGATCCATGGATTCTGACGAACGTCAAGAAGCTTTGAATTATTAAGTATCACATTTTGTGATTGGCTCACCAACCTGTGTCAAATGAAACAGAAGCCTTCATTGGTCAGTTTTAAATCTAAAAATGCTCCTGATTGGTAGATAAGGTTGGATTTATTTACATCTGTAAATTACTTTGAACAAAGGGAGCTATCTGAAAATTTCTAAGAACACTTCCAATTGATCTGCTAATTTGAAAGCTGGAAAGTCATTGGATGCTAGAAGACTTCAATGAATCATCTCGGGGATATACTTAGCACAAAGTCATTGTACTTCAGGAGATTCTTTACACAAATATTTTAGTGCCGTCATCAAACAGTGGAATTCTTTTCAGTAGTCTGCCTTGGCAGCTGTGTACATTGGATTAAAACAAATGATAATGTATTTTATTATCCTGTACTTCAAATATTATTGGATTTATCAAAGTTTTTGTAAACTACTGTGAAAAGGGAACATTTTGGTTTGAAAGTGCATTAAAGAAAGTGCACAGATTGACTCTCTGAATTGAAAGAAAGACTTATGTGTTTTAATTAAAGCATTGTGTAAATTAGGTTTCATTGGTTCGCATTGTTTGTCCAGTGAGACCATCTTTGAAGAGATGAGGATATTTTACTTTTGTAGAAAACAAGACCTAAGAAGAACAAGTTTAAGTAATCAAGCGTCGATTAATTTGTGGGATAATTCTTGATGACTTAGTAGCGACACAGATGTTGTTGAGGTTTGGATTGGTGTCTTTTCCAATCCAGCTTTAATATGATTACTTCAAAGAGAAATATCAGTTTTCAATGTGTGCTTTGTTTTAACCACTTAATTGGCTGAACATTTGCACTCTTGAAAAAAGCAACTTTTGAGATATAGCCAAATGCCACATACATATATACTGATTGCTGAAAGTCATTTCAACAATACTTACCTCAGTTTTTCGACTCTCTAGAGAGACATATTTGCTACAAGTTACATTCACCAGTCAAATTAACGCACAGGCTGCTTCTACAGACTTTCTTTGTGAGCAAAACAAACGGGGGTTAGTATTCACTTTTTTGCCCCGTTTTTAAAGCCAACACGTGTCCCCGTTACATCTCATAGGTACGCTGTATTTAGTTGCTTTGTAAGAGTGTGGAGTAGCACAAGAATGCATACAACTTATTTTGAAGACATTTACTTCATATTAGAAATTTATACTTGACCCTCGCCATTTAAAAATGTTGCAGAAATCTGCTGCAGACATCAGGTTATTAGTCATATTCTGTAGCATGAAAGTTTTACCAGTAAACGTCATGATTGGACTGTACATAAAGTGGACAAATGATGGTGGTAATGCTTTGTATTAGTGAAGGCAAGAACTTTTTTGTTTTGGTTGTTTTGTGTTGGTTGTTTCTGCCTATTTTGTCTCATTTGTTTTAGCAAATATAGGTCATTTGTTAAAAGCCAGTTCAAAAGAAAATTACAAAAGATGGGTTTTCAGTTCCATATAGTGTGTGACATGTTTTCTTCAGTTGAAGTAAACTGCATGCTTTAAGTGAGGAAGATTCACACAGAGGACAAATATTCACCTTTAGCAGAAGCAGCCACGTTGGTGAGGAGTGTTCATTTTGTTGGTAGGATGTGACCTTAACGCATGCATTTCATAGTCATTTGTTATCCAGCCAAATGCAGTCCCCACCAAAAGAGCTGTTGCTAGGAAAATTGCACCCTCTCTTGGTCCAGCTTGGGGCTTATTGTTAAAAGTTATCTTTAGCATGTAACTGACTCAAATTGCTTAAATGCTTGGCAATTACCGTCTTAATTTTTAAGAATGAAAACATCAGTACAATATTAATTTTTTATTATGCTGGGTTACTGCTTCAGGGTCCATGCTTGTAACTTCTGAAGTCTTTTCTGTGTCAGATTTTCTGTTTGATTTTAATTTTTTTCTGAGGTAAACAATAAAGACAAATTATTGTACATACAAATATTGGCATTTCTTGTTTTGTGTATCCATCAACTCACTGGTGATTCTAAGACCCCAGGAAATTCTTAAATGGAATTCAAATTCAAGACTGGTTTCATTTCTTTAGCCACCTCTTTTAAAATTTGGTACATGTACATAATTTCCCTCCCAAAATAAATCGGATAATCTTTTGCATTGGGTTTGGCATACCTCAGAAAAACAAAGTCCAACAGCCTCTGTGCACAAAGTCCCATATGGGTGTTTAACTTTGTGTGAATGGGAAAGGTTAGCGCCAACAACCCTTGGGGGGGGTTAGGTTAAGCTCTGTCTTTTTTCCCAAGTGTTGCCCTGACATTATTAAGAAATTAACAGCATAAATGTACAAGCACTGTACTACATGTACATTCAATGCAACCAAAATATATATATACATTTATTGACTTCATCCTTAAAGTGTCAAGAATACACAATAGTTGAATTTAAATAGAGAATGGTTTTTCAACTGTTTGTTGTATTAGCTGGTCACTTAGTAATGCATAAGTATTTAAGTAGAAATTTGCTGGATATATAATAAATATATTTACAAAAATTCAAACACTTATTTAGTGAAATCAGCCAATAAGTGAATGCGTGTCATGCATATTTATGATTTAGCCAGGAATGTGTACATTATCCTAAATTCCTTTAATCTAGCTGAAATGCCCAAGGTATGCTGGAGTGAACAGAGTGTACAATGTTCTCATTTTCCTTGTGCACCGAAAGTGGTTGCTTGAGATTTGATTTCTTTCTCACAATAGCCCGACAGCTTGAGGGAATACGCATCTAACCTAACATGTTTCACTGACATGCAATGGCTATTCAGCTCATCTTGTTTTCATGCATACTGCTGTGTGTTACAACAATACGAACAAGATCCAAATACTTGTTTTCATTAAAAGTGAAAACAAGGAACAGTAGTAGTTTTTAATTCTGAGCAAATGATGCTGCCAACATTTGTACAAGGGTGCCATTTTGATGTTGTCATAAAAAAAATTCCTCACCAAAAGAGTATAAGAAAAATACAAAAATCAATCCATTCTGTGGAGAAATGCACGCAGGGGCCTCTGCTATTGTCGTAACACGCTGTTTAACTTGACCACTCAAGTGGAACCCACTCCAACCAAAATGTAGCACAGTAGGATACATATATTGTACACAAAGCAATGGGACACTCCTGGTACACTTTGAATGACTTGTTTTAGCTTGTGAAAATAGAAAGCTTCATGAGCATAACTCAAAAATGCTGAAATGTCTCTTTTTTACTGCTACAAAGGTGGTAGAAAGTCATCGCAACATGTAACTTATGCTATGCAACATGTTTTCAAGTAAAAATCCCATTACATGGCTCCTTTAAAGGCAAAGGTCCCTACTTATTAATGAGGAAAGTAACTAGAAACAATCTGTTATTGAAATGAAGCTGTGCTGTGGAATGCTTCAACAAACGCAATATCCTGACCCAATTTGGAAGCTTATAAAGACCAGAGATTATTCTGTCACTGTTCTTGAAAGTGTAGGGATCGAGTACTATACATTTATTCACACCACTTTGAGGCAGTCTGGTTTTGCTGATCCTGCATATTTGGTCACGTGCTTGAAAAGAGTCTCCGAGTGCTACTTGAACTGGTCTATAATTGTGGAGTTGCTCTTTTGTCTGATCTTTGCCAGCACATGGCATGATTTCTGCTATGAAAATAGATTCAAGATTCACATTCAAGCTGAGGTTTACACAGCAAAGTCTGCAAATTTGGCACATTTCTTTTTAAAACGAACCAAAAAACAAACAAAACAAACCCAAAACTGGAGAGTATTGGAATGGAGGAAGGTTGTAAGTTTAAAATGTGAAGTAAAGCCAGTGTAATTTTTGCAAATAACTGAATGCAATTCCCAATTTTTCAAACAGCAAAGACATGTACGGGTGCTTCACCCCTATTCAGATTTCATTTGACACGCAAACACATCTAGGAAGCATATTAACAAGGTGGGCAAAATTGAAGAACTCTATGTGAAATGGACAAATTAATAATGAAATACTATGGTAAACATACAGAGCTTTCATTCAACAGGTGGGAAATTGTCAAGTGTTATGCAGACAAAAGCTCATTAAATTTTTAATAAGCACGCGGTACATGATAGTTCAACAAAGGGTAAATTACTTCAAAAATATATGAACTATATATATATATGCTTTGTATTGAATGTCATTCCAATAAATTTATTTGAAAACCCAGCCCAATCAGGTTATTTTTAATAAAATTTGCATATTTCTACAATTTCAACAAAATGTTGCTAGCTTTGTGACTTCTGGCATACTACCCGACCTCACAGAACCTGGAAATATGGCACCTGGAAATATGGCACCTGGCCAGCAACCACTGACGTAATATACCCATAAACTGGAAGATCTTCAACTAAAGAGCAAGTTGGAGTGATGCCTGATGCCCCCCCCAAAAAAAATTAAGTTAAAAATGAAAAAGCAGTAGGGACAGTTACAAGGTGACATCACATGCAAAAGGTCTAGGCCCCACCCTAAAAAGGGCTCTGGAACCATGCCTGATTGGTGGATCAAATAGAAATCTTAATAAAATGGTATATACTGCAGTAAAAGTGGTGGGAAGCGACATTGGTCAGGCAAAATCAATATAATACAAAGAATTTATCTTTGGTTAGTCCTTAAATTTTCTACCCAATTTTTAAATTAAAACTATGTAATAAAGTAGTTGAAAATGATCTTAACAAAAAATGCATAGTAAATCACTGCTTAGAGAGATGCAACATGAATATCTCAGAATACAAAATTTATAAATACCCACTTTCCAAATTGTTCTATAACACATTTTTTTAATGGTGCTATGAGGCAAAAAGACTTGATTTTTGGTAACTTGTACATTTGGCCAAGCTTTGTTGAGAAAAACTACAACAATGCAGTGAAGTTGCCTGTTGTTATGAATGCATCTAATCACAGCATGAACTAATACTCAGTAATCTTGCCATTATTTATATGAATTAAAAGTTACGCTTTTCACTAATTTGTTCATTCATTTGTTTGGTGGGCTTCCATTTTTTTCTATTGATATATTATTCTTTACTTTTCTTTAAACATTTTTGAATTCTCAGTGCTTGTTTTGAGAGCAGTTGTGCATAGCCTTGAGGTAGAAGAGAAGTGCCAGTATGTTTTCTAACTAATTGAGGTGGCAAATACTCTGGAATCTTTGTGAAGAGAAGTTCCATGAGATGCACTTGTCGAGTGAAAATTGCTTATTTATACAAGAAATGTTTCACAACACAAAACATAAATCTCACTCTGACTACTAAAATTTCAATGAAGACATGGTAATCATGAACAAATATTACAATTTTTCCAGGATAACCAAATGGAATCTTGCTTCTTTCACTCTTGTGCAACAGAAAAATCTAAGACGGTTTCCATAAGTACATTTGTAAACCGTTCACTTACAGGCAGAGTCATTAGTCGCTATTTACAAAAAAACGGGAACTTTATTTGCAAAGACCACTGACATTGCTTTGTTCTTTTTCATGGAAAAATAAATATCAGTCGAGTAATTTGATACAGGCACCTGCTAGATTAGGAAAATATTTAAAATGTGTGTCATTTTCACTTACAGTCTGGGAGCATCAATCAAAATACATACAATAACCAATTTCTTTTGGTTCACACTTCCATGTGTATTTCTTTTTTCATATTTTCACTGAGGAAAATCGACACTGAAAATGTCTTTTTGAAGGCACGTTTTTCCTGGTTATAAACACACCAGTGATCATGGTGATGTACTTGACTTGGAATCCTACTGTGGCACAGTCAGTCAGGTCCGGGCACACAAGTGAAACTACAGCAAGAACAGCTGTGGCTGCACAAAGTCTTATCGTAAACCATGTACTATCCCCTACTTTAATATATATATGGTGAAAAGAATTTTCCAGACAAGGTAATATATAAGACTGAGGCACCCTCGCCTGGTAGAATTGACATTTGAACTCATCATCGAGGGCACCTTTGTGAAGGGAGTCCGAGGTATAAATATTAATGTGACATCATACATTCATGCACTGGATGGAAGCATTTGGGTTACCAGTGTAGTTACTACTGGCTAATACTGCAAGCTGGGTACCAGGTCCTTATCGCCTGGGACGCTGGGTTTTTGGTCTTGTCAAACAAACTCCTCGCCTCGTCGTATCTTGGATATCTTCACCAGAGAATCACGTACCTTTGGGTTCAGGTCATCCTGTAGCAGGAGATATCAAGAATACATCTTATCAATACGGGCTTACTTTTGCCGAATCCAGTTGATAACAAGCTGAAAACATTTCCCTTTAGCACAACCACCGTTATAAATTGGATTTGTGGCAGTTTTAGCTTGCAAGGTATGTCATGGTCCGACAGAACTGTCACAATTGCAGGAGGAGCACAACGGAATTAATTAAATCGAGGGCTAGAAAAGTACAAGGAATCACATGGCATGCATGACGAGCATGCCTAAAGCCCTACCACACATGCGTAAGAAAGTTATCAGTTGCCGTGCATTTTGCGCATGCATGTCAAGTCTTTGAGTAGTTCGTGCGGGATAACTACGACAGAAGTATAAAGCGGGGATGTATTTTCTCCAAATACGTTGCCCAAGGACATATTTACTCATTTTTAACCTAGCAACTGGATAATTGTAGACATGGGGAACATGTGAACGAGATTTCAGCTACCTCCATCAGGTAAAAATGTGAAAACAATAATTGTTGTAAAATCGGTGACTATCTTAGGATGCCTTTTTATTCTGGACGTTATTTGTAATGTATATGTAATAAAGATGTCATTTAACCTGGGTTAGGGCTCAACCTGAGTGAGTTTGAGAAGTCGTTTCACATTGAATGCAACTGTACTTGCACGTGTGCCCCCCCCCCGACATAATCAAATTAGATAACTTTAATATAAATTGCATTGGTCTTTTTGCTAGGAATCTTCCTGACTCTATTGAATCTAAACTCTACAAGATCCGAAAGACTTCTCCGTCATCTTAAATGGAAATACAAGGAGAGTACTACCAAGCTATGCAATCCAAGCAACCAATGTTCAGTGCACTTTAGTTAGAACTAATGCAGAGAAAAGATTAAAACGTAGCAAAAATGGGTAAACACAATTGGGCTAACTGGTTCTTATCTGATTGGGATAACTGGTTCTCATCTGGTTGGGCATTGGTTCAAACGACCCAGAAAGCATGCAAAGAAACTTACTAATGCTATCCAATAAGATGATGTTATAACCTTAACCAGACACACCAAAATACCCACCTGGATGGCGTTCAGTAAGTGTGCTCTGTAAACAGACACCATCTGATCATACTTCTCCTCTGCTTCCTGCAACTTTTGCTGCAATCGGATGACTTCCTTGAGGTCACTGACCCTGCTGGCCCCTCCCCCATCCCCTCCATCTGCCAGCGCCTGGGCTTTCAGCTTTCTGTTCTCTGTCAGGAGTTCCGTGTAGCGTTTCTTGCTGAAGCCGACCGACGCAGGGAGCTGGCTCTCAAAGGTTTCCGCTTGTTCCTGTACTGTCCTCTTCAGCTGATGATTCTCAGCGAGTAGTTCAGTGAATCTTCTCGCTTCCTCGGCTCTCCGACTCTCCTCTCTTTCAAGCTTCTCGATCTTATCCTTGAGCTTTTGATTATCTGCCACCAGGTTGTGAGGGTTCACGTTGTCGTTTCTGTTGCCACTATTTTGTTGCAGTTTCCGAAGTTCCTGCCGGAGCTCAATCATCTTGTCATCTTGTTTTCTTATCTCATCCTGGAGACGCCAGTTCTCTTTGGTCAGGTGGTCGAATCGGTCCTTGTCCGGGCTACGTGCAAGATGAGCTTCCTGTGTCTTAACACTCTGCCTTAACCTGTGATTCTCTTCAATGAGATCGTCGTATCTGTCCTTATCAATGTCGTCGCTGGCTCTATTTTCCCGACCTTCCAACTCTGTCCTGAGTTTATCTTGGTCTGCAAGGAGCTCTGTGTACTTCTGTTTATCCCGTCTGGATCTCTCATTCAGTTGCGCTATAGCTTTTGATTGCTTTGCCACCATGTTGTCCAGCCTTGCTTTCTCTGTGGCCAGAGCTTCATATTCCTCCGCCGTGGTGCTCAGGCCATTCTGGGCCTTTTCACTCAGCATATCTTTCAGCTGTTTGTTCTGTTCAGTTAGCTCTGCACACTTGGCCTTCAGCTTGTCTAACTCCGCACCTTTCTCAGCAAGCACCTTGGAGTGTTTGGAGATAGTCTCCACTGAGTGTCGCTTCTCTTGTAAAAGGTTGTCATACTGCCGCTGGAGGGTGCTGTTTGCTGACAGGGTGTGAGTTGGCATCTTTTGGCCATCCTGCATCGTCTTCCTTTTCAGTCTCTCATTCTCATCCGTGGAGAGTGCCAACTTAAGCCAAAACGACAACACAAAGTAGCTAAATCACCAACATACCCAACACGAAAATTTGTACAAAGAAGTCATGAGATAGTTTGTCTAAGGAACTTCTCAAAAATAATCATCACCATGTATGGTAAGGAAGGGAGAATTTCTCACTAAGTATAAACAAATCACTCACTGACTTTTGTTCAAACAAGTTTCAATATACACTTTTTTGTGCAATGCATATATGAAACTGGTGCCAAAGTCACACTAAAGTGCAGCCTAACTTGTGGGTTTGTATCAAAATTGAGAACTTATGAAGATTGTCTTCCAAAATTAGCATTACAAAAGCGTCAAATTCTGCAGTACTTATATACTTACCAATACATTATTAAAATGTTAAGATATATCTTTCCCCTAGAAAAGAATTCTATCACAGAGAGTCTACAGTTGTTGCAGTCCAATGTGACTGCTTGTAAAACTTTTCTGCAGGTAACCAGTGGCGTATCCAGTGGGGGGTTGTGACCCCCCCAAAAAGACTTTTTTTTTCACATTTTTTTTACATGTACAAATATTTTTTGACTGAGAATACTTCATAGCCGCGTAGAAATGAAACTAATTGGTCTGTTTAATTATCAAATAAATAGGCTATATTTCTCTCCCCCACTATCATGTTGAATGAGTTTGAAAGTGCATTTGCTTTTGAATTCCCCCCTCCCTCACACCAAAAACTTGATATGCCACAGCAGGTAACTGAGTATTTTTTGTAGTGAAAGGGCTGGAGTCAGTCTTAGACACTCTACCACTCACCCTCTGAGACATGTTAGCAATCTCCTCCATCAAAATACCGTTATTCTTCTGGAGTTCTACCAACTCCAACCTATTGGCTTTCTTCAGTTCATTATATTCTTCCACATTGACCACGTCACGTCCGTTCACAGCATCCAGTTCCTGCCTTAGAGAGGACAGTTCTTCTTCAAGCTGTGAGACTCGGCTATCATCCAGCTCTGTTGATGCGTTGGCCACATTCTGAAATAGATCGAAAAAAAATTCAACTGAAATTGCTACATGTGTAAAATGGACATCGGCAGAAAGTAACAAACAGAACTCACATAATCAATGACCAACCAAAATGATTTGCTGATAATTATCTTCATTTTTGGATCAGCAATATTAGAGAAGAGAAATAATGCACAGGTAATTAAAAAGAAACCTTTCTTAACAAAACTTGAGCTTAGTATGGTAAATCAGGGGTGTAAAAAATTATATTCAAGGAGTTCTATCACATTTGGAGTTTGAATGGATTATTTAATACTCACCTTCTTTTTCAGCTCTTCATTCTCCTGGCGTAGAGATACTATCTGACTGCGTAAGATGGCCACCAGTCCTGTACTCTCACTGCTTAACCTGTTTGCCGTATCAATCCTCTTGGCTGACTTGACTTTCACAGCTGAACCACCGGTGCCTGTCAGACAATGGGTTCAGAAATGAGAAAATCCTGTCAAGCTTTGGCCAATTAGGCTTCATGCAGAAGAACCCCTCTGTATCTTCCAAACTGGGCTTTTTACCTGGAAGGTCAAAAAGGTCATCATCACTATCTCCCCAGTTACTGTCAATCTCATCTTCAGTGACATCACCCTGCCAAACAAAAGAAGGACAAGAAAGACTGAAATTACTCAGTAAAGTTTAGAGTAAAGATAAATAAGAAAGTAACAACTTAAACATTACATTGCATTGTTTCCATTTTCAAACATGATTAACCACTTGCCGCCGGGGTTTCCAGTACCGGATACGTATTCTTTATACGCTGGCCGGGGTCTCCGAAATCAGACAAAGGGAACAGGGCCTTGTAACAAAAGACCGTACTCATAACAAAAGACCAGGCTGCTGGGAATTACCGACAGTTTTTCACTCTCAAAAGTGGAGATAATCCAGCCTTGTTTTGAAACAGTATACCACGGTTTGGGGCATTTAGCGCAAGCTGATTATCAACGGGGACAAAAGCGCTCCACCACCGCAGCGATGAGCCACACAGCACCGCTGCACGCTAATCTGGCCCCTATTGAAAAGAGGTCAACAGCGCACTGTGCCAGGTTCGTGAACAAAAGAAAATTATGTAACACCAAACAATCTGGGCTCTTTTTACAAGGCAGCAGTCCTGGCTGAAATACTCCAGCATCAATAGATGTTGTCTGTCAGATTAGAGTAGAAACCAGACAGTCCTTTGTGTGGGTGTAAGCGTCCACTAAATGAAGATAGGAATTTTCACATAATTTTGAAAACCGGAAATATTGAAAATGATCCCGTCCCAGCATCGCCAACATTCATAAATGCCCCGGCGCGAAGTGGTTAAAAGCACAGCACATAAATTCCTAAAAGCATGTCAAAATAACTTGAATCATAAAACTGATCTGAATCATAGAAGTAATTGATCTACTTACATGTATTACAATTAATATACAACATGTAGGGTAAATCAATTTAAGAAAGAAAAGAGGCTACAGAAAAACATGTGAGGGAGACAAAGGAAGGTGTTGGTTACTTTAAATCAGGTAATTCATGACTCCTGTCAGAACTTTTCTTTCTTCAAACTCTTCTTCAAACTGATAAGCGATGAAAAATGCAATTCAAACTTTCTAAAGAGCAAAACCCTGTAAAACAAGTCTTTAAACAACCACTCCACCAGGCACGGACTAAATGCCCAGTAGGACCCTACACCTAGAAATGAAATCAGGGCCTCTTATAGGCACAAGGAAACTACCACAGCAGCCTGACTGTCATCAGGAGTTTGTATACACAGTCATGACTCACCCCCATCGATGCAAGGCGTGCCTTCAGCATTTCTGTCGCGGTCTCCGCTTGGGCTCTCTTGTCCTTCTCCATTTGAAGATTCCTCTTCAGAATTTCAAACTGATCAAAAATACAAAAGGACCATCAAGCTGCAAAACATGAATTTCTGTGCACAACCTAGTGCTGGCAAGTTGCAAAGACAAATCAGCTGTATCTGCCCTAACCATCCTCAATCCTTCAAAATCCTCTGGCGGTTTTGAAGGATTATGGAGGATTGAGGTTGCATGGCAAAATTTTTCATAGCTGATTACAAAGGATGCGTTGTCTCAAGGTTGTGGGTTAGACCTTGTGTTGTTTATGTTCAGATATGCATAAACTTATGCCCACAAAATATGTGAAATCCTCCATACTGCTCCAGGGTACTATTCACATCGCCTCAACTTAATGAGAGGAATTGCCAGAGGATTTTGAAGGCAGTGGGCACCCCTCCGCAGAACATATTCTACAAATATCAGAGGATTTTGGAGGATTGGGGCTGTATCCAATTTTTTCATGGGGGCAGTTGGAGGATTTTGAAGGATTGAGGGTATATCCTTGCCAAAAGGACCTAGACGGTTAGGGTTGATGAATCGGTGCAGGGACATGCAACAGCTTCCTTTTCTCGTGGCAAGAAAAGATCAATTTTTAAAAGAATTTAAATGGATTCTGTGAACATGCAAAAAAGGAGTTGTTGAAGGATGTCCCTTTACAGTGGCCATAAACAATTTTATATAAAGAGAACCTCTCCAGTTTTATTCCTAGCATCCTCGGTCTATCCTAGCCCAACACATGGTTCTGTGTGACTAAAATGGAAAGCAGATCTGACCTTTTGGTTTCACATGGAGTGTAACATCCAGATTCTGATCAAGTACAAGTTATAAGGAAATGTAGGATTTGGTTAGATTCAGCGAGGTTCCTAATAACTACCTAGGTCCAATTTCATGGTGCTGTTAAGCACATGATTTTATGCTGACAGATGCTCCATGCACATTATATCATGAAGAATGTAAACAGTAAGCAAAACAAAAGGCACGATGACCTTGGAGGAAAAAATTACTTAGCATAGTGCCAAACAATGGAAATCTCTTTGCACGTACAATCTAAAGCACAACCAAGCCAAGCACTGCTATGAAGAACGCTTAGAAAGCGTGTTAAAAATTGGGAACATTCCCGTTCTGTTGGACTGTTCCCACTAGAACGCCGGTGTTCCATCGGAACATGCCCGCATAGGCACGTCCCAGGCAGCGTTCCATTGGGATCACGTGTTCCCAGTGGAACAGTCCTGCTCTTACATTCGCAATCGGGAAGAAAGATTTCCCACATTCATTTTCTAGACCCTGTCTATGAAGGACGGCAGCTCGAGCGTAGCATTTTGTGATTTACTGCTCATGAAGGTTAACTTTTCTCCTGTTTTTCTTTAACACATTCACCATGACATAGCTTACCATGCGATGAAGTTAGAGTATATCTGGGCACCGTTAATTTTATTGTGTTAATGTTAACGTCTGTACTCGCAAGTGTTTTTTCATCATTAGGCTTGCATGATAGACGGATTTATCATCGCAATGTTTCCATCATATCAGAGACAATTTGGAAACCTAACCTGTAATTGAAGGGGTGCAGGGTGAGGTCCTCAAATATCGCCAAAAAGGTTGAATGACACGACTAAGGCCATTAAGCTCGACATTGGTATAGCAACCTATAGCCCAGTGATACCCACACTGACATAAACATGTACTCTGCATGTAGTCAGCACGTGGTGGTTTTCACATTTGTATCTCAAGTCAAAAACAAACTTGCCATCATCGGATTAACAAATTTTGCCACATCACATTTCCATCTTCAGTTTACTTCCAATTCTTATTCAAAATTAGGCCTACCATAAAAGCAAAGTAGTTTACCTACGCTCGTTTGTCATGGCAGGCTCTGTTTTGGGGCATTGGCTAAGATTTGTGCATGGGCGATATGAAGCTATGTTCTGATGGGATCATCAGACCATTCTCACTAAGGAACATAACTTCCGTGTGGAATGTTGCGTTCCCAACGGATCGGCTGACTGTTCCGGAATGACAGCACGGCATTCCAGTGGGAAAGTTCCGACCATTCCGAATTATGAGATGCTCCCTTAAGGCTAGCAAAATTTTCTGCTGAATTAAGCACAAGTTTACTGCTTACTCTGAAGCAGTGCCAAGAAATTGGGCCCTGCGGTTAGAACTTGGTTCAATTCTGCCAGTCAGGCACTTTCTGACCAATCTTTCTTGAAGGCTAAAGCTATTATGAGACCTGGGGTTTCTGTGGTTCAGCTTTATTTGAAAGGATGGACTGACCTCCTCTTCAAACTCTTGGTTCCTGAGATTGTCTCCATGCACCTGAAATGGGTGGAAAATGGTCCAAAAAAATGTGTGAGACTTCCATCCAGGGCTTGAAACTAATCTGCAAATACAGGGGTGCTCCAGAAAATAGCTTGCAACGGACAAACTCAACAAGCCCTACACTTCTCACAAACACTGCAGACATTTCCAGCCGATTCTCATATAGAACTCAATATCCTTAAAAACTTAGACTGGTGATTTTGTAATTGCACTGTGATATCAGGAGTTATTTTCCACATTCTAGACTCATACAAAGAGGGTCCTTACTCACCATGCTTGTCTGTTGGAGCTGTTGCTCCAGTGCTTTAATCTTCTCTTGAGCTTTCTTGTGATCTAACGTCAGACGACTCAGCTCCTCGTACAAGACTTCATTCTCCTCTTCCATTTCCTGAAATAAACGACTGAATCATTTCACACATCCTCACTTCCTGGCATGTACCTAAGTATCATTTCCTTTTTACTTCCATATATATATATAATTTCTATTTAGACATCCCAAAAGACCTGTGCCTCATAGTTCTGATTTTTTACGATACGCACAATTCTACAACTATTAATGTGCACAATTGTGACGTATGATTTACATTTACCCTAACTCTCCACGGTACTTTGGCTAGAAACCCTGCCACAGACGTCTGCATCATTTGTCAATGTGGCTTGCCTGCCCAGTGTAACAAGATCCAATAGGTCAACTCTCCCTAAGGCCAAACAGCCTGGGAGTCTGTGGTTGCCAGTCACCACAAGATCCAACAGGTCAACTCTCCCAAAGGCCAAACAGCATGGGAGTCTGTGGTTGTCAGTCACCACAAGATCCAACAGGTCAACTCTCCCTAAGGCCAAACAGCCTGGGAGTCTGTGGTTGTCAGTCACCACAAAATCCAACTGGTCAGCTCTCCCCAAGGCAGGGTTAACCCTGCCAGACACAGCACAATGCATCAGGTGAAAGTGTCTGATGCACTTTACAATCAACAGCAGCCAAAGAAACTGGCCACGTTGAGGCAACGGGACCTAGTCCCATCAAACAATGCCAATGTTGGATCTTGTGGTGACTGGCAACCACAGACTCCCAGGCAAAACATGCAATGATCAAGAAAGTTCCCAAGCATTAACTTGACCAACCTTGATTTCCTTAGATTGTTGCACTGACTTGGTTGATGCAGCAGACTTATGCGGGTTTACCACAGCTACCTCTTGAAGATTACCATTCTGTGAAAACCATTTGACAGAGGTTTTTAATCCAGTCCCTTGACAGTCCGAGCTTTTTTCATTTCTCAGTAGAGGTAAACATCACAAAATGACAATAAAGTGCAATCCAGTCTTAAGACCATGTCTGCAATGTTAGCCAATAAACTTGACATCAACTACGTGTAAACTCAGGTTTCGGTCGGCCATTAATTACGTGAAGAGCACACCACTCACACTTGGCTCTCGAGATATTGGAAGCAACTCATAAGCCACAGGATTCAATCCACTAATTTTTGAAAGGTTTTTGGAAAGAAATCCTTGCTTAGAATGAAAAGCTGATGTTTGAAGAGCACCCATTCGATATTCCTGTGCTTCACGCGATGGTTGCACACTAAACAGCGCCCTCATTATAAAGTCATGCATACATGTACACCCAATTAGTGAGTGTCTTGGGGCCTGATGTTCCCTGATGCTGAAGGTAAAGGAGTATCCCGAACATATTTGAAAACATTTCAAGAATACATCTTTAAGCAGGTCAGAGAAAGACTACGAGCCAAATCAAAGGCAAGTTTTGTTTACAACTTGGAGACAACTATTTCCGAAATGCGCAAAGAGCTAACTGGAAAATTACCAAAATTTACATGCCTGTTGCCGTGGTGATTTGGGATGAGGAGACTCGCATCTAGCAGCATCAAAGCGGTCGACATAGTCAATGGAGTCTGCTTTGGGTTCATCATCTGTCTCGTTGTGTGCCTCTGTGATAGGTCACAAAGATAAACAGCTGATTAGATGGACTTCATTGAAATAAACCTGTAAAAACATTCCTTCAATTGAGTCTCACATGTTCTTTCTATGATGTAGATTACATAATAAACTGAGCAATGTTTCCGGTCAGAAAATTGACAATTTCAAGTGTTCTTTCTCCTCTCATTCACACATTTTTTAAGATTGCGATGGGGTCTTGTGGGTAGAGGAAAAGAAAGTAGTTGGGAAAAGGTATTGCATTTAAAAGCCCTAAATCCAAAAGCCTATCCTGAACTTTGATCTCTGACCCTAACCCCATCCTAACCTTACGCTCCTCCTTACCTAACCCTATCCCTGATCACAAGACTAAGCAAGGACATGGCAGCCTATCAGACCACTCCGTAATCAAGAAAGCCTCCCACTTACTGACATCCCAGGTGGCTACAGATGGTGCTGACTCTAAACACTCCTTCAAGTCATCACCGCTGCTTCCCTCGGCGTAGTATGCGGCATCAAAACCCTGGGCATCTGTTAGGTCAGTCCGTGCACCCCGCTTGACCAGGAGATCCACGACCTCCTTATGGTTACTCTCACAAGCCATCATTAGTGGAGTCCTGTACACACAATATCAATTCATATAACTAAATCTTATTGGTTACCATTTGTCTTTCAACAAGATATCACTGACAGGTGTCCCATGTATTATGAATGGGAAAAATGGCAATGGTAGGGCATTTTAACAACTTCTCTTTACATTAATGTTTTTCAATCAATCTAAAGTGAGAAACTGTATGAGGTAAATCCTGCCCTCGGGTGTCAAGCCATAAACATGATAGAGAAGCAAACTGGCAGATACTCAAGTGGTATATGATATTCTCAAAAGCCTTTAGAATGTTTTCTGGGAGGTTCACTTCCATTTTGAAAAGTTGAGATCAAAAAATATTAAAGGTGAACTTTATGTTCCTACTGAAAACCGAACATATCTTAAGTTTTTCACAAGAGTCATCAATGGAGCTCAAACTTTTACAATAAAAACTCTCAACACCTGTCTCAAATATTAAGTTATTTACACAGGTACGGAATTTAGAAAATGATTTAAAACGATTTCTAAATTGTTACATCTTTAACCTTAAAAATCACATTTTCCAAATCCATCACCTGGTCTTGTTGCAACCATTGGCAACCAATGGTTTTCTACACTGGGTTGGAGTTTGGAAGTTTCAGGAAGGTTTTTGACACTCCAGACGAAGAATAAGAATTACTTAATCAGATTTACATGTGTTGGAATAATGGACTCACCTTTGCAAGTGATCTTGTGCATTCACGTTGGCCCCTTTATCTATCAAGTCTTTACAGATGGTTAGATGACCCAGCTGGGAGGCCATCATCAATGCTGTCTTCCCATACTAGGCAAGAATCCAAACAAGAGTAGAAATACAAGTACATTAAGATTGCACATGATAGGCCAGTCTGAAGGAAGACCAGGTAATCATTTGGATAGGTGGATGGTTCAAACCCTGCCCACATGTCTTTCTATAGGACCAATGACCCAAAATGCCTTTCTCCAGGGTGTGAAGTGGTTATTAAGGCCCTGAGTTAACTTACGGCCATCTGTGTTCTGCAGTCAAGATACAGGAAACGGGTAATTAAGACTTTGGTGAGACTGTGTATGAACAACAAAACCAGCCTTCCCACCATCATGGTATTGAGTAATAATTATCATAAGTCAGAAAAACGTCCTGTCTTATTACATAAAAGTACATGATTGACACCACTGGAACAAGGAATTGCTTGTGTATGTATAATCTCCATGATTGTGTTACAGTTTTTTGATTGACAATGTAGATTAGAAAGTGCATTCTTGGCAACTTATTTCCGACTGATTCAAGCAGTATGTAATACAGACAAAGGATTTAAGAAATGTTCAATGGGCGGATACCGGTTGGAAGCAGGTGAAATATGCCTCAGCCAGAAAGGCATCAATGATTCCTTTATCTAATTTTAATAAAGAGTTAGTATGCTTACTTCTTCAGTTACATCGACTGATGCTTTTGCCTTCAGTATAACCTTACAGCAATCCGAGTGACCACCAAGAACTTGCAGCAGGAAGAAAAAAATAATCAGACCAATTAAAGATTTGATGTTTTACATGTCAAAGACGTATACAGAAAGAGTTACAAAAAATGAGGGCTTTTTAGAAATGGAGATCATTCTATCTCACTAATGCACCGTGGTGAACACAGAAATAGGTCATCAGTACAAAGCGCTATATGAACGCGGGTGAAATATTTTGGGTGAAAAATGCCTTCCAATCTGGTATGGAATCTTACGGTAGATAAATTTGACATCTCTCAGCCTTGTGCTGTTCAACCTGCTTTGCTACCTTGAGGTATCAATTTTGCCTTTGATTATGTCACAGAAAACCATGTGGTTTCCTTTCCTTAAATTCAACCTATGCGTCATTTCCTACTGACTTCTTTGGTGCCTAAGAGAATACTGCAAGGTGTGACGAGGAAAGCTCAGGTATTGATGCAGAACAGGTCTGGTTATCTCACATTAGAACCAATGAGTTTACACTGCATGCGCTTTTACTCTGCGTCTGCACTTTAAGCTTGTCAGCGCATGCTCTAATTCTATGCCAACTGCAAACTTATTAGTCACTGCCAAAAAGACAAGACTTTTTTCAAGACATGCTGCTTCCAGCAATCCAACCGGAGGTAAGACATTGTGAGATTCAAAATCTACTGACTTCATGTATTCCAAGTTGCCAATCCTACAATATCATTAATGTGGTCAGTTCTACAGGTTGAATTTCTGTAGTTACCAACCTTTCAACTTCCCATGACTGAAATTTGACAAAATGCATGTCCGTCACATAATAAAAGATGGACAAAATGTACACATGAATACTGAAGAATCCATGTAATATTCTGACAACCATACATGTCAATTGTCTCTGGTAAAACACAAATAGGATCTGACACTACTTAATGTGGAGTTCAACAGTAAATATTGGTAATAATTCAAGTCTACTGATCTAAACCTATCCGGTCTTCCATTTTACAAACAGATCAAAATTTAGAAAGTTAAGAATGCGTACGGTTCAATGCTTTCACATTTCAGACCACTTAGAATCAACAACTGGAGGCATACCATACATGTACAACTTGCCAAAAGGAGAAAACTACAGCGACATGTGTGGAATCCTAAATTGGCACAAGATGGACATCATCACTTGATGAAGGTACACGATCAAGTGACATGACTTAATATTGTGCAGCGTCTAATCTGCTTGACCACAGATTTGTTTTAAGAACATACAGTACTCCTTCAACAACGGCGACTTAAAGAAAATCAAACTAAGCCCCAACTGGAAAAACTTCAGGTTGACTTCACTTCAACATCATGAGAATTGTACAAATTTAGAAACCTGACAGGCTACTTCAACAAAACTATGAACATTCTCTTTACCAGCGAGATGGAGAGCTGTTTTCCCTGTGAGTTCCTTGGCATTGACAGGAGCGTTGGCTAAAACCAGACGCTGGACACAGTCAGTGTGACCACCCATGCAGGCATAATGTAGCACCGTGTAACCTGGTACATGAGACAAAAATTGAGATATGAATATTCACAGGACATGCAGTTTATCACTGGTACTCTGCCCTGTAGCTGGTGTACTGATATGGCTTTCCTATGCTTGCTTCTTGGTGTCTTGACTTGTTTGGTAGCTCCCCTGCTTGCATGCTTGCTAGCTTACACACTGGCTGGATTGATGGTTTTCTTGCCCGCAGGAGCGTTGGGTGGTCTGCTTAGGTTGCTGGATTTCTTCCTAGCAAGCTTGCTGGTAGGATGGTTTCTTTGTTGGCTTCCCTGTTTGATAGTCTGCTTCCATGCTGGCTAGATCTCAAGTTGCAGCTATAATCTCACTCAACTTTGAAGTTTAAGGCTGACCGGGTAGGCCAACGAACAGGAATAATCAAGGTGATTTGCATTTGTGATCTGCCATACAGGCAACTTGCTAGTAATTCCTTCAGGCTCCCATTTGATGACTGACCCCAGTAAGTAACCCACATGCTTGCCTACAGGCACACATCTGTGCCATACAGGTAGTTTCCATTTGCTTTAAATCTTGCAGACAGCGTAGAAAATAGTTCTTCTGCTCTCTCATTCAAAACAGGAATCCCCTGAGCTTACTTGCCCACCAAAGGGACAGTTTACGTGTTACAGTACATGTGGATTGATCATTTGTGTCTGGATACAAGCAGAGAAATGCCAGAGGCTGGGATACCCATGGCTTATCAACAGAATTCAGCGCTTCACAAAAATAGCCAGCGCCCTTTATTTCAGAAATGTCAACCTGTGTCAAATCGGCGGTCCAAAGGTTTCCAACCGATTTGAGCCAACAACAATTTCCTGTGAAATACAACAGTGCAGGGAAATCAATCCTGCTGGCGTTCTTTATGCTTACCCCTACCCTTACTTCACCCCACCCCCTGGGGATGTAGAGGATTGAACCTCGGGACATGTCTTCCGCCTTATGTGATACATTCACCAATAATTATGTTCTTCCTGAATGCAAGGGTTACATTTTATTTTTATAGTTTGACCTCGTGCCTGCATTACATAGATGTATACATATTGCAATGATTTTCAAAACCAATTAAGAATTCAACACTGTGAGAGAAAGCAAACAAACCAACTTATAGGCCTGCCCTTTTTAGGAAAAATGTCAACAAGTACGCATACATATCTGGAAGACTGTCTTAACGGTCCAACCTCATTAATTGGAGGTTCTTTGGACTTAACAGCTTAGCGTATTACAACATGAAACTTGTATTATCGCAAATATCAACAACAAAGAACAAATAATTTTTCTGTTAAAAGCAGAATGTTGTTTTAACAGCACTCTTATTAACCCTAACAGTCCTCAATCCTCCAACAAGTGAAGGATTGAGGACTGTTAGGGTTAATGAGGCTGGACTGTCCCTATCTACAAGTCGTAATAAGTTTCTGGTCCAGAGGTTTCTAATCTTGGAACAATCACAGTAGTGTTTCCCGGGAGAGGATCTTTCCCAGCATGCATAGCAATATCAATTGGAAAATCCTTTGAATCAGGTCATAACTTTTCTTTAAAGTAAAACAAATGCAGGATTGTTTTTGGATGCCTGGAAGCTAGTGGTACAGCGTAATTCCCCTGGATCCCTCCATCCGTCTGCCTAATCTGTTCCGGTCAAGCTCTAATCACTATGGCCCAAGACACAGCTGTAAAGCTTCATAAGCTATTAAACCATTACCTTGGCTGTCTGCAGCGGCAACAGTTACTCCATGCTGAATCATGATATCCAGACAGCCAAACTGACCCAATTCTGCCGCAAGATGCAACCTGCAAATCAGAAAGTAATTACCTCAAGTCGTAAGTGAATGCCACATCTCACTGCTAAAATACCACATGAACACTGTGTATAAGTGCTCCCTCAACGACAAAGAGAGACTTTAGGCTCACGCCTGCATACCACTTCTGTGGTGTTGAGTCAATGGGATTCGGGGGCGGCTCCAGGAAGTTTTCCAAGGGGGAGGGTCAGGCCTGGGATTGTTTTTTAATATCTCATTTTTGCAGACAAGCGGAAACAGTTATGAAACATCACATGACATAAATTGTAAACAATGGTACTGGTGCACTTTTCTTTATTTTTTTCGTTAGTTTAACCTTTTTTTGTCTCACAGAATTCAACCTCCCGGATCCGTGCCTGGGAGTGCACAATTTGAAAAAGTACTGTGCAGAACCTGCACCACAGGTATGTGAATTAGTATGCAGTATTCAGTTTTCCAGCCCAACAGGAAATCGCTATTAGGTAATAACAAAGTGCCCTTTCTTGTTTCATGCACAGAGCCAATAGAAATGGATCAGTCAGTAGTCAAAGGCAACTTCAATATGAGTTATCCTTCTTTCTTCAATACTTCAATTTTTGCATCCTTGGTGGGATATTTGAATACCATCTATGCCAACAACAGTAAGCCCCATGTACTGTAACACCGTGGTGGACAGAGCAAAGGGTCCTTTATCTACCAAAAAGCTATATAAAACCCACAATGTTAAGACTTTCAGGGATTCAGAGAGGTGGGTAATTGCAGAAATTAGGGGTCCAGAAAAGTGACATTTTCATTACATCTGACTTTTGTTATTTGACATGAAAATGTCACCGGAATTGATTTCAAACTATTGCTATTTGTTTGGCAGGTAATTGGTGTTAATTCATCACACTTTGAAATTAGAAAATGTGTTGTGAACTTACAAAATCATGTCAGCAGTGACAGGGACACGAAAAAACATGGACCCCTAATTTCTGAAATTACCCAAGTACATGTAAGGCCAAACTACTGAAAACTTGTTGGTACAAGACTTGATTCCTGAGTTTCATCATGAACTGAGTATGACTAAATGTCACAGCAATACTTAAGTGTAAGAAGAGTTTGGCCGAGAGAAACAAAGGGTCACTGGCCAAAAAGCTACACAGTCCACAGCCCTCTGACTGATGGTACGACCCTAAACAAGCAATTTATTTAATGCTGCCTGGCTCAACCACCTTAGGCCAGAATGAAACACGCACAGCTGAAAATTCTGCCTAATTGAAAACAACGATTCTAACAATGAAAGTAGATGACCAGAAATACAGCTCAGAATCACAGCCAGTCTTGTTGGGTGTCTGAGTATTTGTCCACAGGACACAAGCCTGGATGTTGGCACTTCCTTTAGTCATGAGTCACGGCTTTATATTTTAAACCGTTGCTTCCTCCTATGTCAACAGATGTCTTACAAGAATAGATGCCGTGTTGTATCAGCTGTCATCTTAAATCTGTTATTATAGGGGTTGTGAGCCTACAAAAGCTCCCTTCTGTTAGCACTGAACAATGTAAAGTGGGTGTATGAGTTTATGAATATGTGTACATGAACAGTATGCAAGAATACCTCATGCTCAGGTGGAGAGAATTTTTGAGGCCTCACAAAACCTGCTTATCTTGTACATGTTGTATGCAAGAACTTTCTTAAATACTTGAAAATCCTCCATCTTACAGAACTCAATGGCTACTTTGTTGTATTTCAGCTTTTCTGGAGCATTCAGACACACATGTACATGTGTGTCAGACATGTCTAGATTGTACTTGTACATGTACCCTCTTTATTCCAGCAATGCCCACCAAACCCTTCTAATGGACTTGGACAGATTTCAGCAATTTGAGGTCAGGGCTTGATCTCTATTATTTCATGTCTTCTCACACTCACATTTCACTTTTCATTATTCCACTTTATTGGTCTAAAAGAGCAAGTAAGCTCTATCCCTCGGCAGTTGTACATTATATCGAGTGATGTTTGGGTCCTCAAAATAAAGTTTCTGATTTCTGGTCAGCACGCATGTTGCCGTACCTGTGGTCAGCAAAACAAAAATGTTTTTTATTTGGTATAAAACACTGACCAAAAGCTGCCAAACTTGCTTATATCTCTGGAATCCTGCTACTGCGTAATTTGAACATGTTTTTGATGGGGTACGGTTATGTACAGTAAAGGAGTCCCTCTAGTTCCCCATACATGTAATCAGGCATTGTTTTCAAGATGACGTCATTTCTGTATCACGGAACCAGACAAACAAGGTGGTCTTATGTCCTGTGTACATGTACCAGTACAAGCTGAAAATGCTTTTAAATAAAAAGTGCGGGGGCTCGTCTATTTTAGTGTCAGTAGCGACCAGCGTTACGTGCCCTTGCAGTGGCAATGGACATCATGCATTATACATGTACGTACATGTACATCATTTCCAGAAAATAAGCAAGGGTAAGAAAAAAGCAGCCTCGCCGCAACACTAACAGCTCCTGACCAGAAACCCGAGACTTTTGGGCCTTATTTAAAGGTGCCTTTCGACAAGGATTTGGAGGCATGTCAAAGATTTTGCACAGATTTATTGAAAGAAAGCTGGGTCTCTACTCAACCAATGGCTTTTGTCCTCATTGGTGGGGGCTGTTTTGAGAGACTTTTTTGGAGTAGAGTGCCTTGCTCAAGAACAATCATGATATCCAGATGGATTTGAACAAATTATCTCTAACTTAGCACTATTATGGAAATCTTCTATAAACCCCTCGTTTCTTGGAATTTCCTTCTGAATCCCACAGAATCAGACAGTGACTCGTGTGAGTTTTCTGCTAGTATCCACCACAATCCAAAAGCCCAAGTTGCTGGTGACAATTTAATTGATTCCAACTACCCGGTACGCCTTATTTTGCTGTGGCTGAATCAAACAAATGCAACATTTGCCAACTGTTTAGAGTTAATTGTCAATCCAATAAGGCCAAGCTACCATAAGTTCATTGTTACATCCAACAGATTTCAAGAGGAACACGTCCAAGGAGTTAAATGTCAATCCAACAGAATCAAGCAGCAGTGAAATGTACTTGGGTGCAGCATGGTTGGGGAACATAATCGATGCTGCTGAGGGAGGTGCCTTTCTTAGCATAAGCTTCGGCTGATAAAATGAGTAAGTCAGGGACACACCATGATGCCCAGGGTGGGTTCAAACCCTCTCTCTAGATTCAATGTTTTCTTACGGGACTCTTCCTTCGGGGTCCATCTTGATGGGTGAAGTGCCCTTCTTGCCTAGGGCAGCTAGGAGCTTCTCAATGTCTCCATCTTCTACGGCTTGCATCACCTTCTCATCGTTCTTACCCCACTCTCCCTGGCAAAACAGAACGAAAAAAGAGAGTAGAAAGTGAAGGAAGTGATGAGAAGAATGTTCAACATGTGAAACAAATGTTGAAGAGATTCTCGTCAATTGTTTCTTCTGTATTATTATTATAAAAATCAACGTCACATGACTATGCACTGCTTCAGCAACAAACACACATTCTTAAACTTTTAACTAAACAATTAAACTTCAAGCATGACTTTCCACATCCCCAAAACCACAGTAATACTCCAGACAGAGAATAGTACTGAAAAAAATGTTTAGTACAAACTTAAAATAAGTAAATAAATGTTCAAATTCATTTTGAGGAGTTTCACATTTTACATACATGAAAATGTGAAAAGCCTTTTACCCAGAGTGGGTCAACTCAAAAAGATTAAAGCATTCTCCCTGACCCCTCCGCCCTGAGTTTGTTAAACCTGCCAACTTGGCCAAAGTGACCAATGCCCAGGTGAACCTCCCGTTACAACACCAACTAAGAGCCCCCCTCCTCCGCCCATTTTCCTAGGCCAATATATCGATTAGTGCTTGACTATTACCATGCTATTACCATGTCTCCATGATGCCAGTTTATTGATTTCAGTTTCTAAAGGAGTACAGAACACACTATTGGTTTTGTTCTCATTTTCTGCCTCATTACTTCAGCCATCAGTTGCAGGGAATCCTGAATTAATTGGTTTATGCCTTCTGGGCAGGCTAACAGGTCATGACACTTGTCTGGCAATCTATCAACCTACATGTCAAGCATAGGGTTGGGATTTGAAGGATGCAGACAAGTCTTCTGTGTACCTTGGTAGTTTGGTATACATGTGGTTGCCAAGGAGTGTGTTATTTTCACAGTGGTTATACAATCAAATTTATATGAAAGGCTTTGGGTATGAAGGGATTGAATGTAAATGAACATGTCAACATCACATTTTGAAATGCAGAACAAATGACACTAAAAATTGCAAAAAAAGGAATTGAAGTGTACTAATAAAACTGGAATCTAACTTATTTAATATCAACTGAACGCTACTTTATAAGTGAGGTGAAAACATACATGTTGAGGTCATGTAATTACATTGAAATATAAGGTCACAACATGACCTCTCTATGCATACATCAAGTGCAAAGACTCAACATTCATTCTTGGCTGGCCACCAACTTTCTGTCCAGGATTTGTGGCTTGGCATTCTCAGTAATAAGATTTATTCCTTTCTCCTTCCTCAGCAAACTGTGCACTCTCTCCACAGACCCTCTAAGAGCCACAACTTGATCTTAAGTAAATAAATGCCCTTTGTTACCCACTTAGAAACCCAGTGCAATAAATCTCTCTGGGTAAACAAAACCAAATGCACACAATAAATTAAGGTGCGGACTAACACCCCCCCCCCACACCACAACTGAATCAAGGCACAAATCAATGCAATTTCTGTGTACAGTGCTGTGGAGTGGATCGACACAAACACTTGGAGTGAACTACCTCCATGATTCAACATACATGTACTCATGAAAATCCTATTAAAACGTGAAGGAAATGTAATGTCCAATGTTAAACCAATGAATAACCAGCTTTATGGAAGAGATAATCTCATCTAATATGATTTGCCTTGAGTTTATCATACAGATCAAGCAATGTAAAGGACAGAAACTGCAAACACAAACTATCAAAGAATAAGCCAAAATGTAAAACTAAAAGGTTGTCTTTCAATCAGTCTCTGAGAAGGATATTTGACATCTTTGATTCAGTTGTTTTGGTTGAAATGATGGGTGCACTGGTGCTATAGTATGCCAAAGATAGCAGGTTCAAATCCAACCTCGGTCAATTTCACAGAACAACTGAATACTGATCTAACACAAAGTATCATTTGAAGTGTATCAGATGGAATTTATGGCAAAATAAACAAATGAGGCAACGCAATCATAATCCTCAATGAGAACCACGATACATTCAGATAATTCATTTCTGGGAAAAACCTTACAGAAACTGGACAATCGCAATTCCCAACAACTGGGCCCAAATGTTTCTGATGAGAAAAGTCTTCCACACAAGGGCCCCATATTTTCCAATTCCTAGAATGAACATTTGTACGAAAACAACACATCAGAAAACTACATGTAAATGTGAAATGTATGAATGCATGTAAGACATGACTGAGGGATTGTCAAGCCTCGAAGGCAACAACTTTGGTGTTCAAACAGAATGAAAGGCCCAATGGCCCTGACAAAACCTGTAAAAGGATTTAACAATCAATAATTGTCGGCACAATGTAATGTGCCAATGTCTGTGGAGTGTCTATTTAGAAAATGGCTATTGTCCAAGCCTATTGGTCAAATCTAATTCCCCAAACACCGGTGCTCATTGATTATTTTGTTCTTGGAGTGACTGTTGGCCAGTAAGCAAGACAGACTGTGTCAAATGCAGAATTTGCAGAGTTATATAAATGATCTTGGAGGTGGCACTTTGTGAATATAAATGAGGCAGTCTGGGAATGGAATGCAAACAGAGAAGTGTTTCAAGATATTGATTCCAGACACTAAGTTGGGTGATGGATAACCTGGCAGCAATCCTGTGTTATCTGTTATCCTCATTTTGGGGGGTTGTACGGTACAAATGCACTCCTAGAAAGACATTTGAGTCAACAAATATATTACTACTGCAAAGCCATGACCATGGTGTTGAGTAACAATGCACATTTACATGTACATGTCTGTACACTGCAAGCAGCTACAACCATAATGTATCAATTTTAGATGAAATACAGTAGGTCTTTTGAGTAAACAATGGAGCTAAAATGCATCAAACACGAAACAAAAGTGCAACAAATATGGATGTCTACTGCTAGTGCAGCTGTACAGATGCCTAATATATCCACATTGGATAACATGAATGGCAAGATTTGGGGATGCTGTACGTTAGGTGCATGTAGTCTCCATAATTTTGCCAAAATGACCTGAGCAGTAATATCCACAGTAGCTGCAGGTGCTGTACACTCAATCTGGGCTGTGTTTTAGCAGTTGCGTTGTTTCTCTTTGGTCCATTTCTCTGAGAATTTGTATACTTCATCATCAGGTTTAATTCTCACCCAGTTAAAATTACCAAAGAAAAACCTCCACATGGCCAAAAAAGCCATAACATACCCCTGGTTCTACCTTTAGCTTGGTTTTGAGTCTGGTAAGCCATGCACAAATCGTGTACATGTACATGTTAATTACGGTATGTGTATGCTGCTTCAACCTACCATTTATTGAAACAGGTGCCTGGCTGGCCAAAAATAGCCTTCCATCAGTAAATTAACTGACAACCAGCAAGCATGGATTTTTAACAGTTTCTACACAAACATGCATGAACATAAACACCGAGTGGCCCTTCATAAATACAGTACATGTCCCTATGACAATTTTGCAAGTCTGACCATCCAAGTTAAATACATGTAGAGGACTGTTTTGACACTTTCTGGATGACAGATGACATAAATCAGAAAGCTTGCTTTTAAAGAAAAACAATGGTGCTTGAATTACACTGTACATTCAAAGAGAAGCAAAATCATAAAGGTAAGTCCTCCAGAAATGCATGCATTGAAGCAAGAAGGACAGATCTTTCCAAAAACCCATGGTTTTTTACAGGTTTGTTGTTCCCTTAGATGGTTTCTGACAAGAGTTTTATGATACTTTACTCAAAACGGGTTGAAATCTTCGTACTTTGAACAAAAGAATTTTGTTGTGTATGTGCACAAAACAGCCCTTCTGCTATCTTTGCCATCAAACTTTTCAAGAAAATTGCTTACTACACGTAGGACTGGTTTTATGGTTTTGACAAAGCCATCAACCTGTACACGGCTTCACTAGTGGAAAAGTTTTGAACAAGTTGGTTAATTCCTTGCACACACATAAAAACAAAACCACTGACTGCCAAAGGGGTATTAGGCTAATCATGCAAAGGTTAAAGTTGAAGAGCTTTACCTCCTTGTCGCGTCCCTTCTTCAATTTCTTAAACATCGTGCTTGTCCTGGCTCAACCTTCAATAGCAGTGCATGTGTACAGTATGAGAGAGAAATTCCTGAACACAAGGAAGGCTCAATACAATGGCACCAACTATATGATAGTAATCATCTGGAAAGTTGCTGGTTCCATACAGTTCAAGCTCTGGCAGCATTTGGCATCACAGCTCCACTAAGTAGCACCATTTCTAGTAAACTTTTGTAATGTTCTTCTAAAGTGTAAATAAAAATTGTCCAGAGCCGTCTTTATTTTCGGAAGACAGGAAATCAATGGAACTGTACTTGAGTCCAACTTTTCATTAGTAATATAGATGTACATCAATATGTTGTTGACGAGTTGTGATGGACGGAGGTATTCATTGCCATCTTGACTGCAGGGGGTTTTGTTGAAAAGATCTGTGGTGTCACTGTTCTGTTTTTTCCTGCGTTATGTTGTCCCTGCTCTGCATGGTTTGCTTGTCATGAGTAGCATTTATAACACTCCGCTTTGACTTCATCCAACCTGTCAAAAAGAAAGCAAGTGATACATTTGTACTTAAGCAGGAATGAAAGTGTTTCAAACTGCCCTTGTTTCATGAGACTATGCTACCGGTATGGCTAAGATGAGGCAGGCATAAATGTCTCTGATATCACAGTTCAGATCCAATGTAATGGCTACATGTATATATATAAAGTTCATCGCAAGCACATTTTTTTAGGGCAATCATTGGGTAGCAATGTGTCATTTAGATGAATAACTTTTCATATGGTTGGTTATCAGTCAAAAAATTAGATTTTCACACAATTGACATTTCTAAAATTCACAAAAAAATTAAAGTGAGCATTACACATGTACATGTACTGGTACACGTAGGGTAAACATGGCCTTTGGTTGCACTCTTTTGGGACTGACCTTGTAAGAACAATAAAACTTCAGGGGTCACGAAGTACATAACGCCCACGAAAGGGTGCCATGTTGGGGCCGTGCTAAGCCTACATGTACTTGTACATCTACCTCAGGAGCTACGTCAACAATCTGGGGCTCAGATAACTTGACCTTTTGCCAACTCGACTTGGGACAACTTGACCGTTCAGACAACTCAAACAGTGGGACAAGTTGACCATCCGTGCCTCAAATGGACCTGACAACTTGACCGTTGAGACAAATCACTAATTGAGACAAGTTGACTCATAAGTTTACTTGCACTTTCCAGTCACATCACCCACACCTTTTCTCCAAATTAACAAATAGAGAAAAAGGACTGGGGGACAGATTTACAAGTACCGTACCATCTCCCACCATGGCAGATTAGCCACTGATCATCGGTATGGTACAGCTGAGGTGCCATGCCACCTCCCACCATGGCAGATTAGCCACTGATCATCGGTATGGTACAGCTGAGGCACCATGCCACCTCCCACCATGGCAGATTAGCCACTGATCATCGGTATGGTGCACCTGAGGCGCCATGCCACCTCCCACCATGGCAGATTAGCCACTGATCATCGGTATGGTGCACCTGAGGTGCCATGCCACCTCCCACCATGGCAGATTAGCCACTGATCATCGGTATGGTACAGCTGAGGCACCATCCCACCTGTCCTCTGCATGCTGCGTCACTGGATCCCAAGGCATGCCATGCCAGATGAGTTAAGTTGCAACCATAACGCAATACATGCAAAGTTTGCACAAATGCATCAATTTGCAATCTGTGAAATGCTCTAAACTCCATAAGATTCACACTTTGAACAGTTGAGTTGTTTTAATGGACAGCTTGGTGAACAGTCAACTTGTCCCATGAGTCAAGTAAGTCTCAACGCTCGAGTTGTATTTTTGACACAACAGCGCAAACTGCAGTAAGCCTATGACCAATAACCACCGAGTGACAAAGTTGCAATAGGCCTACAACCACCAATTTTTGTTGGGAGCCACATTATGTAGGCCCATTCCTGCAGCATATTTTATGGATGTCCCATGGAGGTACCGTACATGTACATTGTACAAGGCTATGTTGGCCACTGTACACAACTTTTACAGTACAATGTATCTACATAGGTATATAAACTAGGGCTGAGTCAAGTCGAATAATTCACTATTTGAATACATTCGACCTTCAGTCCGATCGAATATTCGAATATTCAGTCATACCAAGCAGCAGATTGTTGATGAGCAATCCATATACACAAAATCAGTTGCCATAATGCACAAAACTGTACATTTTAATCACTGTAATAGCTTCTTACATCTAGGAGTATCTCCAGCCATGATTTAGACACGAATAATACATGTACTTCTCATCCTTTAAAATTGTGTAATGAATGAATTAATTTTTGAAGCGTTGTAAGATTTCTGTCGTTTTTATTTGAGTCTGCTTGAAACAAGCCTCCACAGTGCAATTTTTCTCATTTACATGTAAAAGAAAATAAACTTCTTCCTTCGTTTTCATGAATTTTGCATATGAATATTCGAATTCGGAGAATGCTATTCGAATATTCGATACTCTATCGAATATCCGGATATTCAGATATTCAGCACAGCCCTAACGTAAACTAGTAAGCCACTCTTATTACATGTCATAAACTACAAGGACCTGTAACATGTATTTGGGTGTGTATTACCTTTAGCACCCTGTTCCTATAATAAGGAAAGGAAGTCCACTTTTTCAAACGGATCCACTCCTTAATCCTAGTACCAGCTGTAGTTTAGGAAAATTTTGACAATATTTAAGAAAGAAAACCAGAATTTTCTAACCCAAGTTCAGCAAATGATGACCATATCACACCATTTTGTTACCGGACCCAGCCATTGTGTATACTAAATGTCATTAAAAAAGTTCATCCAGGTCAAGGATTCAGACCACATTTACTGATTCATATTCATTCACAGCTCTTCGCCTCGTCATTTACGCTGCCGTTTCACCCAGTAATTTCCCTCAAAACCAAAGCCCTGTCCCCTTTTCTTTGTGATATGAAAGAGGACATCACCCCCAAAATATCTAGATAAGTTGTTTTGAAAAGGTAGACTTTATTTCCTTATTATAGCAGCAGGGTGCTAAAGGTAATGAACAAATATTGATTGCTGTCATGTCATACCCTATCTCTATCATGGACACCTTAATTTACAGTCAGTAGTACATGTAGTCAGGTCGGGGACAAAAACCACAATCTAGCTAAGATGCCAGACTATGCATACGCTGCTCAATTGTGCAATGATGACATAATTTTTGAACTATTTTTAGATCAGGGTTTGCAGATGACATCAATCTTTTTATCGGCCAAAAACTTCAATAAAGATCGCTCTGATCATGGATCAAATTTATAGGAAACATGCTACCCCAGATCTAAATGAAAATTTCCTTTCATCTGGTACCGATATCTCTAAAAGCAGATCGAGGAAATTTTTCAGTCGAATCTTGCATTCGGTGGGTAGGAGTCCAATTCTGCTGATCAAAACTTTTACAGGAAAAAAATAAAACTTTGTTGAAGTTTACTTTATGCCTGAAAACATTGCCATTATAAATCTCCATCCATTCACGCTGGCAAATTTTATGTTTACCGTGGCGATTTTCCAAAACAGCAATCGGAAACAATTTTGACACAGACTCCAACAGTAATGGCAATGGTGGCCATATTGGCTGCCGGTATTTCACATCTCATTATTTTCCCCAAATCAATCTCCTTTTTCAAAATTCTTTGGAAAAAGGAGATTGTTTGGCCCCCAAAGGGTGAAATTGTGTAAATTATTGCTGGGATGAAGTTCATGGGTGTTTGGGCTTCTATCTTTGAGCAGACTTGCTGAAATATACGGTTGAGGGTTAGAATTTGAAAAATGGCTAAATGCAGACTTCGGAACTTCTCCTTTTGGGGGTTCTTTTTTGTGTATGTGAATAATTAAAAATTTCATCGATTAACCCCCCCCAAAAATGAAAAGAAATTGAAAGTTTCAGGACCTAAGAATAATTCCATTTTTGTTTGACAAACCGTAGGGATGTTGGCTTGCATGTTATTGCAGGACTGTAAATTTGGGGACCCTGTTCCTCTAATAGAAGGGAGAGCTACACGTATTTAACTTTTGAATTCACCTTGCGAGATGACTGTGACATCATGCTCAATAACTGTAGGGTTGTCAAAAAAGGGCAATATTTTCAGTTTCGAAAATTTTTGAGGGAAACTGAGTGTTTTAACAAGTGCCACGTGGTGGATTCAAATTTGCACGGTAAAATATTGAAATAGGAGTCATGCAGATAGGAAAGTCACATTTTCTCACAGAACAGTTCCCCCAAGGTCAGCGCAATAAAGAGTGTGTTGCGTTTGTTTTTGGGGGGGGCTTACCAGTTTTGCAAGATTAAAATGTCCAAAAAATGGGGTCCCCAAGTATATCATACAGGCCGGTTTTGAGTCCTTGAGAATGTTGATTTTAGTCACTGCTGTGCATGCCGTTACTCCCGTTAGTGTTTTCAATGCTTACAATGGGGTTGAATCAATGGGGCTTGAATAAGTGGACTACACCCGTCAGTGTTTTCACAAATCTTCTTAATGGCAATTCATCATCTTGAAACTGTAATAATTAATCGTCCTAAACAATTAAAGTTAACGAAAATGTGTCTACCTGTTTTGTTAAACATACAGACCTTCTGGTCTCAGTTCAGCGCGTCGATCCACATCCACACAAGCCAGCCATGAACGGACTAATGTTTGATTGATTGTCTCGTGAGGGCGCCATCAAACCACCACATACAACATTCCGCAGCTTGGTTTTCTTACTTCCTACATGATGAGAACAGAGGCCGAGTGCATTGGCTACAGTGCTGCCTACCTGTGCAAGCTACGTGCGTATCCTGAGATTGTAATATGAAGATGAAATCATCTCTTTTTTAACCTGGCAAAGAAGTGCGAAAATGGAATTGGCCAATGACCAAAACCAGAAGGTAGGAAATCTCGTAAATTTTTTTATAGTCAGGTTGCTTAATGTCAAATTTTGAGATTACCGTTTATAATAATTATTTAATAATAAATGCTGAATTACATAATTTCTGATATTCATAATAAAAAACATTATTTGTTTATATGAATGAACATAATAACAGAAAGAGGATCAGATCTGTTGTAGATTGATTGATTTTTTATGGAACTGAGAACATGAACCCAATTTTGAATACTAATGTAACGGTCGATTACACACTGAAGGTTCGGACGACCTCACCAGATTGGGATTTCCATTTAACATCAACAATCAGGAATGATTTATTTCGGAATCACATGAGCATTACGAGAGAATTACGATACATTGATTGCCAGCCATCTTTGATTGTATCCCAGCATCCTTTGCTGTGTTTACATGTACATGCGTCAGTCTCCAGTCAAGTCGTGTCAGCCTAGTCTTCGTCCTGTAGTCTTTGTCTACAGTCATGTCCATCCCGTTACACTAATGATCAAAATTAAAGCATTTGAAACGTAGAGGTGGTTAAATTAATTACCCGTTTTTAATTAGAAAATGGTTTCTTGAAGACACAGTTTTCGTACATCCACATCATGCTCTGTGCATTCATTTTACACTGAAATTCCTCAGCAGTGCAGTAAAAGTGTATTTGTGCATAAGTTAGTCTTTTGGAAAAGATAAAGTTCAGTAATTTTGTCCTTTCTAAATATGTATCCTGCCCTCACACTTTTCTTTGTGACAGATGGAAACATCAGTGAGCAACTACAACATAATTGACTTAAAAGACATTTCATTTGATGCTGAAATAAGTACAACTGGAAGCAGAAATAAAGTGTACCGGGCAACCTGGCAAAAGTCGTCAAGAAAACAAAAAGTTGCTGCAAAATGCTGCCAGCGCTTCCATGAGGAAGAAGTGTTGATTCTGGCAAGAATGAACCATGACAATATTATCAAGTTCTTGGGAGTTGTGAAGCCCACTTCAGTACTGGAGAATTACTTCATCGTAACAGAATATGCGGAGGGAGGTTCTTTGTACGATGTGATTAGTCAACATCGTGAAGACTGGCCAGAGTTTAGGCAGAGTCGTTGGATGAGATGGGCCCAGGATGGGGCTAAGGCTCTACAGTACATTCATGAAAAGAAGTACCAACATGGGGATGTCAAGTCACCTAACTTTCTGGTTACCAGTGATGAAACACTGAAGATCTGTGACTTTGGCATATCCAGGCAGTGTGACTATACCATCAGCACAGTCACAAACAGGGGATCCTCACCATGGATGGCGCCAGAAGCCTTTGGCGATGTGATGTATGATTCATCTAGCACAAAAAAACCATGCAAGGTCACAACAAAATCAGATGTTTATTCCTTTGGTGTTGTGATGTGGGAACTGATTTCTGGTGAGGCCCCCTATTCTAATAAAATGCCGATGCAGATTCTCACAGCTGTAGTTATCAACAAAAAACGCTTGGAAATTCCACATGATTGCCCAGAACACCAGCAAATGAGTGATCTTCTAAATAAATGCTGGCAAGCTGACTACACACAGAGACCAAGTATCCAAGAAGTCCTTCAAAGCCTCATTGACATTGACAATGGCTGCAAGAAAATACTGGGTAGGTTCTGAATATGCTTGGTAAAATTTGTCTGACGACCAGGAATGATTTTATTTGATAAATGTGACCCATCACGACAGACAGTTGCATCCCGCTCTTTCCTATTTTTATGGTTTAAAGTCATATTTAAATGGAGGTAAATTTGGCGGTTTTGTAATATTTGGAAGGAGAAACCTGTCTTCCACATAATTCCAAATATTTTGCAGGATACCACTTCCTCCTCATTTTTGACAACTGCATTCATTCATGCCTGCTTAGAAGAGTTGAAACAATGTCGGGAACAAAGATACAAAGCTGCCAGAATAATGTCACATTGTCAACTTATACTTTAACCTTTAACATGTACGTGCCATTGGAAAGCACTCTCTCTTTTGAATTCAAATTAAATACCAATATATCTCAATTTTGGAAAATTCCGATTTTCAGCTCATTTTATGCTGACAGGTCAGAAATACCTTTTGAAAGCTTCATCAATTCATATTATTATCCTCATTTTTTCAATTTTTTTTTTTATATTGTTCAATCAAAGTGAACTGTTAATTGGTGTTGAATGAATATCCAATATCAGCCATTATTTCCTTCATTAGGGAAGAGAAGACAAGATACGGAGGAAGATGATTCCA